ACACACAGATATATATATATATATATATATATATTGATGATGAAAACCATCTTTCTGCATTTATATATGGGAAATATGTTTTTAATAATGTATGATTTATTTTAACTCAATAAATTCATGCGGGTATTTTTTTTTATATTTTTATATAAAAAAATTATATCCATTATGAGTTTCTCTTAAATACTCGGTGTGTAACATTTTATTCAATATTTAAAATAATAAATTATTTTTACTATAGATAATACTTTAATACAACAATTTAATATCATCTATGAAAAAAATGAATTTACAATAAGGGAAACTCTGACTATAACTCAAACAATACTAATGTTAGATTGGTATCATGAATATGATTGTATTGAGCAAATCTTTCGCTGCAAACCTAAAATTACATTCACATCAACAATATAGACATTTTTGTAATCAGTGAACTTTTTATCTTAGCATTTGTTGCTGCAACATTTTTATAAGAAGTATGCCAAGATAATGAGGCAATCATATCAATGACTCCTAAACTTGTTCACATTAATGTGTTGGACACAACTACAATAAAGTAAGTTCATCAATTTTCTTATGTATCCATATCAACTTTGTTGATAACTATTTTTTTCTAAATTTTCTTATATGTATATAAGAAATTTAATAGGAAAAATTCAAAACTTTTTTAAAAGAGCTCAAAAAGTATCCTACAAGCTTAAACGGTAGAATATAATCTCCTTTAAAATTTATTATTATTTGATAAAAGGTTCAAGTTTTGAGAAAATGTATACATCCACTCCAACAAGTCAAAACTTTCTAACAAGAAAGAGTTTATAAAAACCATAAATTATTGGGAAGGTAGAACTTTCTAAGAAGTTTCTACAAATCAATAGTGATGGATAGTAATATAGCATTGACTAATCAAATAGTTCATCTTTTAACTACAACAAAAACTTCAAAAAACTCACTAGCTGACCTTTTATTATATTTTTCTATGGCAATAGATTAACATGAGAATTGATGACAATAATCATAGAAGAGTTTTCAAAAGAAAAATACTTAAAAAAAAAAAAACAAAATTTGAGAGGGAAATATACCTCAATTGGAGCAAACGGAAAAATGAAAACTCATTTTGATAAATGAACAAGTCAAACAAAACTTTCAAAAACTACACTAAGTATAATGATAAATTTTATAAAATTATAGTTTCTAAATTTTCAATATAAATAAATTTAGATTTGAAGTAAGTTCATGCAAACATCATAACATATGAACTACATACTTAAAATTTTCATAATTTTTTTATCACTAATTCAATCATAAAAATTCAACTAATTTGAGAGCATAATGTCAACATCTGAAAAACTAGGAATGTTAAACAATCTATCTGAAGAAATCATTGGAATAGAAATATTGAGAGGAAATGAGATTTAATTATGTTTAACTAAATTGACTGACTAGGCTCAATGAGTGCTTAATTATTCAAATAATAATAATACTAAGTATGATTTTAATTGGTTTTTATTAGAGTTGTAAATGAACCGCTGCACTGCATGAAGAACTTGAGCTTGGCTTGATTAACATTTCTCGTTCCATAAGTTCAAATTAGTAAATGAATAAGTTAAAAAAAAAAATTTGTAGATTAAATGAAGCAAATATAAAAATGATTTAACTCATTTATATATGTTCATGAACAAAATTATTCGTTATTCAAAGAATAACTTGTTAAATAACTGTAGTTATATGATATATTATTTAAATAAAATTTCATCAACTAAAATTTATTTAATTATATGTTTAATATTAATATATTATAATTTAATTTCAATATAAATATATTGATCTAATACAATTCCCTCTTGTTAATTTACTTTAATGAACTAATTTGTTATCACTTATTTATTTTACTTGATTGCAAGATAACTTACTTCCAACTTATATGTTATCTTATTTAAGGAGTTTTAAGAAAATAAATACTAATTTAAAATTTATTTGATTGTTTTTTGTTTAGTTTTATAAAAATATTTGTCAATAAGATTATATTAAAAGGTCAAGTACTCATTCAAATTTTTAGATTGTTTATTAACTCATCGAATTATTTGTTCAATTAATATAAATAAGCCAAATACAATTCAATTATAATTATTAAAAAAATTAAATAAGCCAAATATGAACATACATGTGAAAGTTCGGCTGAGCTCGAGTCAAACATGAATAAATTATAATACGACCAAGCCAAATTCAATCTACGTATACTCTTCTAGACTTGGTTTCATTACAAACTACTTTTAGTTACTCAATGGTAAAGCCAATTACTGATTAGTTTACTCAATTTTGAAGTATTTAAGGACCAAGGCTTTAATTTAGAACTTGTGAGAGCCATCGAGTTATTCAGTCCCATTTACTTCTTCTTCTATTATGTATATGTGATTATGTTAATTGTAATTGAGATTTATTGAAAAATGAACTTTTAACTTTTTTTAAACTAGATCTGTTATGTAGACTATGCCCATGGTATACAGCGTGAGATCTGAGGGGAAAGAGAAATAAATAGAGAGAAAGGTTGCCCCGTGGGGGTTGAAGAAAAGTGTTTACGTGTTCTTTGACCTATTTTATTTCACTGAACTTGGGGGTTACAAGAGAGTGGAAGATGAGAGTTCTCCCTACATGTAGGGTTGTGAGAGCAGAGCCCTTTTACACGTTGCATTTTCTCCTATTTATAGAAAGATGAAAGAGGAAAAATGATATTACAAAAGCGCCCTTGCTTTTAAAAGGCTAGTATAGGGTATTTTTGTCTTTTTCTCACTCAGATATATCATTTTTTAGCGTTCTTGTATGCAAGGTTCATCGGTGTCGAGTGGCTAGTCGGTTGGATGCTAGTGGCCGGCCCAAGGAGGCCAACTGGTTGGTTATGGGTGGCTGCCCATGGGGTGGTTGATCAGTTGGTGGAAGAGGTGGTCGAATTGTTGAGGGGTGGCTGGACAGGTGAATGTGGGTGGCTGCCCGCTAGCCCAACAGAGGTGTTTCTTCTTGTGTGACTTCAACAACGACTTATTTTGGCCTGACAAGGACTCAACATTTTTCTATTATACATAAAACCCCTGAGCTTTTACTAGAAACATAGCTGCAATAAAAATGAAAGACTCAAAATATAAAAATACCGCTTCAGTGAATGACTAATCATACTCCCTTTTTTGTAGTTTTTTCCATATTTTTGGGTTGATTTTTGGCGTGTTGATCGCTGACCCATTCTTTGAGAAGTTCGTTAGTTGGCTTTTACATTTTTAGTTGTGTTATTTGCCCAACTCAAGTCTTACTCCTCACTTGTCTCGTTTACTCGGTTTGTTGTTGCCTAGATTGAGCCGCACCTTTCACTAGGTCAGAGGTGATTCTTCTCGTTGTCTTCGTGGGGGTAACCACTGAGACTCACTATTGTGTTGATTTGCATTGTGCCCTTCGTAGAGTGTGTCACTACTGGGCAGGGAACCATCTCCATAGCTTGTTCCAAGTCGAGTTTGGAGTGGGTTCTTGGATGCTTAGAGTATGAGGGAGATTTTTTTTTGTTTCTTCTTCTCTTCTTTTTTATTTTTTGCCTCTCTGTTCTTTTGTATATAGGTTTAGGATTTTCTCCTCCTCGGCGTGCTTCTCTTCTTGTTGGTGAATATCGTCCACTTTCACCGCACCAATGTTGAAGCCTGATTTGTCCTGTAGACCATGCCCAAGACATAGATATTGAGAGCCAAGGGAAAGAAAAAGAAAGATAAAGAGAAAGAAAGGTTCTCCCCATGAGGGGTGAAGAGGGGTATTTCACACTTATTTGGCCCCATTTATTTCATTGAATTTGGGGTTACAAGAGTTGAGAAGGGAAGAGTTCTCCCTACATGTAGGGTTGAGAGAGGAGAGTCAAGAGAGACTGAGAGAGCCCCTCTACACATTACAGATTCCCCTATTTATAGAACGATAAAAGAGGGAAAATGATATTACAAAAATGTCTTTGCTTTTAAATAGGGCAGTGCGGTGTATTTTAGTCTTTTCCTTGCTCGGATCTATCATTCTAGAGCATTCCCTTTAGTTTGGTTCTTCAGCGTCAGGTGGCCAGCCAAGGGTGGCTGGCTTCCTGGATGTTGGTGGTTGGCTCAAGGAGGCCATCCAATTCGATGTTTGTGTCTGACCTAAGGAGGCTGGCCGGTTGGTTATGGGTGGCCGACCATGGGGTGGTCGACCAATTAGTGGAAGAGGTGGCCAACCTAGTTTAGGGGTGGCTGGCCAATTGACTAGGGAGTGGCCGACCCGACAAGTGTTTCTGCTTGCGCAACTCCGATGATGACTTATTTTGTCTTGTCGAGGACTTGTCATTTTTTTTTCTATACATAATTTTCCACGCTTAATGTTTGAGAAGTGGCTGAAATAAATAACTGGGTTAGGATTTCTTTAAATCTGAAAAGAGAAAATACCTTCGGAATTATGTGATTATGGCTGTGACTTTGGCTTGGAGAACGTTAATAGCTGGAGAATCAATTCAACTTTTGGCTCAGATCAATCTAAACAAACCGAGTTACAACTGAAAATTTTGGTTCAATTTTTTTTTCGAGCCGACCCCAACTAGGCTCAAAATTAGATCTTTAACAACCCTAGTAACGTTAGGGCTGCAAATTTAACAAACTTAGCTTGAAGAACGTTAATCGCTCAAAAATTCATTTAAATTTTGGCTTGGATCGAGATCAGATTGAAATGATCGAGTGGAGCTATCAGCCAAAATTTTAGATCGATTTTGAGCCGAGCCCAGGCTCTAAATTAAATCATTAACATCCCTACCTTCCATGACTTAGTAGCAACTTTAAGATCTCATTTTAACCGTTAGGAAAGAGCCAAGTTTTTTATAATTTTTCTTGATTTCAAGAAGGGGCCAAAACATTATTCAGAAGAAGAACCTGAGGCTCATTGAAAAGGGAGCACTGTTACCATTTTTAGTTCTTATTTCCTCCATGTGCTCCCATCTTTAAGAGCCATAGAAAATCAGAGGTGATCAATAGTCAGTTTTGTTTCATGCTATCCGAAGAAGATAACAAGTCTAATGACAACAAAAATATCAAAGTTTTAGAGTGGATAATTACCCACCTCGAGCTATATATGAATCTGTTTTGATAACTGAAGATTTCATTTAAACTACACATCATAGAGAAATATAGACTACGGGTCAATGATTTTTAATAAATATCATAGTATCCTACAATGGGCACTAATACATCATCTATATATATATATATATATATATATATTCGCCCTCACGG